CGATATTAAACCGAAGGCGTTGAAGACAGCGGCCCTAAACATTGCCGAACCATTAGCTCGGTTCTTTCAACGTTGTCTTGACGAAATGCTGATTCCCACAATGTGGAAACATGGGCTAGTCACTCCCATTTACAAAAGCAGTAATCGTGCGGAGCCGTCGAACTGCCGTCCAATCACTCTCCTTCCAGTTTTATCCAAAGTAATGAAACGTATAGTTGCGGAGGCGCTAATGGGATATCTGGAGAACAACAATATCATAGTGCCACAGCAACACGGATTCCGCCGAAATCGATCCTGCACTACAAACTTGCCGCTGAACCGAGCAAGCTGGACGGAGTCAGCTGACGCTAGATTTGGAGTCGACGTTGTCTACCTGGACTTCTCGAAGGCGTTCGATCGTTTGGACCACCGCATCCTCCTACACCAGCTTCGAGGCTATGGAATCGGTGACCCTGTGCTTGGTTGGATCGCCAACTTTCTCACTCAACGTCAGCTGAATGTGAGAGTCCGCACCTCCATGTCCGACCCAATTGACGTCCAGTGCGGTGTGCCACAAGGGTCAGTACTGGGGCCACGTTTATTTTTAACATTCATTAACGACCTTGCCGGTGTACTACAGTCGAACTTCTTGCTGTTTGCAGATGATGTCAAAATTTGGCATGACATCCGGACAGAGGACGATCACACAACACTGCAGAGCGATCTGGACAGGGCGTACACTTGGTCATCCGAAAACATGCTCCACTTCAATGTCACCAAATGCAAAGTCGTGAGCTTACGCCCCCAGCTCATCCATGAATACTTACTCGGGGACCAGCCGTTGCAACATGCTTCCCAGGAATGCGACCTCGGAGTGATCGTGCAGGACGACCTTGGCTGCTCCAGACAAGCTGAAAAGGCATCGAAAAGGGCCAGTCAACATCTCGGACTCTTACGGAGGGCTCTCGGAAATTTCGAGCCATCTGTATTTCCGCAAATGCTGAGCGCTTACGTGCGACCCCACTTGGAGTATGCGATCCAGGCCTGGAGTCCCTGGCGCAAGCGCGACATCAGTGCACTTGAAGCTCCACAGCGTAGAGCAACGAAGCTCGTCAGAGGCCTGTTTCACATCCCCTACCAACGCAGACTGCAGTCTCTGGGATTGTACAGTGGTGAATATCGTCGTCACCGAGGAGACCTCATCATGGTCTACTTAATACTGAGGAATCCAAATCACCCATGTCGCAGTCTCTTGCAGCTGAGCCAAAATATCCACCTGAGAGGTCATCAGCTCAAACTGGCTACACACTACAGCCGACTTGATTGTCGACGAAACTCTTTCTCACTACGTGTGTCCCGTGCTTGGAATGCGCTCCCCACTCACGTCGTCCTTGCCTCCACATTGGCACTATTTAAAAAACGCCTAGATGACATACTTTCCAACTTGCATTATTTGGAATAGCACTTCCTATTCGGAGGACGAAATAACGAGACCCAAACAATGAGGTTACTGACCCTCCCCGCAAAGTGGCGGTGATGTTACATACAGAAGTGTCCCAATGAGCGACATGGATGTATACAAACAGGAGTAACGTACCACATCCCTCAACGGAAGCAACACACGAGTGAGCGTTATCCGTTCCCTTGATTTCTTTTCCCACATTTGCTGTAATATAACAGCTCTACTTTGGGTGCAGACATCCAGTCCATACTTCAAACTATCATTATGTAGAGGATTAAAAAACGATTTACTTGTTCGATTATCCTTCCATTGTATCTATTGCTCCGACCACCCTACGGGAGCTTTCAAGCATATGTTTCTTACCCGTTATAAATCATTGTTCATTGTTCTTCATCATCATCATCATCATCATCATCATCATCATCATCATCATCATCATCATCATCATCATCATCATCATAATCATCATCATCATCATCATCATCGTCATCATCATCATCATCATCACCATCATCAACATCAGCATCATCGTCGTCATCATCATCATCATCATCATCAGCATCATCATCAGCATCATCAGCATCATCATCATCATCATCATCGTCGTCATCAACATCATCATCATCAGCAGCATCATCATCATCATCATCATCATCATCATCAACATCATCATCAACATCATCGTCATCATCATCATCACCATCATCATCACCATCGTCATCATCATCATAAGCATCACAATCTTCATCATCATCATCAACATCATCATCATCGTCATCATCATCATCATCATCATCATCATCATCATCATCATCACCACCATCATCATCATCATCATCATCATCATCATCATCATCATCATCATCATCATCATCATCATCAACATCATCATAAACATCTTCATCATCATCATCATCATCTTCATCATCATCATCATCATCATCATCATCATCATCATCATCATCATCATCATCATCATCATCATCATCATCATCATCATCATCATCATCATCATCATCATCATCATCATCATCATCATCATCATCATCATCATCATCA